CACCTCCGCTCACGAATAACCAAGTCCGGTATAGATTCCAAGGTACTTTTGCTGTCTAGCGTGCTTTTGCTATCTAGCGTACTTTTGCTGTCTAGCGTACTTTTGCTATCTAGCGTACTTTTGCTATCTAGCGTACTTTTCGTGGTTTTGGCGGCAAAGTTAGTGCAAAAGTTTTAATGTTCCTTGCCAAGCTAGCTAGCGCTAGCTAGTGCTGTCTAGCGCCTAGCTAGCGCTGTCTAGCGTCCTAACGCACAAGCCAATTTTTTGGTACTTTAATAGCAAAAGTTCGCAAACCAATATCCTTAGATACTAAAATATTATAGACTAGCCTTAAGGGAGAATGCAATAAGTGTTAATAATAGTATTTAGTATCTTAAAGGAGAGGTAAGCCCTCTACGCCTTTTTATAGGTGTCTAGTGTGTTCGCTTAGTAGTGGTGTTAGACTTGGTCTGTCTTGTGTTAGACCTAGGCTTAGGCATAAGCCTAAGTCCTTTACAGCCTCCTAGGTATAGGGGTAGATGTTATGGCCTAGATAATATTAAATGCAGAGGCAGTTAGGTCTAGTGACCCCACTATTAGATGTTCTAGATTAGCAGGCAATTATTATTAGGTAGAAGAGGCAGTATTATAAGGCAAAGAAGTAGTTTAAATAAGTAATAATAGCCTATATAACCCTAGTAGCGCACGTATTCTACATAGATAATTTAGGTCCTAATCTAATAAACTTATAACTTATCTACTCTTAGTAGGAGGGATATAATATAGTAGATAAAATAGGGCTTACTATACTATAGTAGGAGACGTTCTAGTACTATCTTATAGACGTATAAAAGAGTAGGATTAAGAGCTTTATAGAGGAGATGTAGTAAAGATAGAAGCTAGACATCCTCTATAAGGAATATCTTTCTCTTAAGAAGATAATTTGTAGTATAGCCTATAGTATAGGTATAAGGGGTATAGGATATAGATCTATAGTAAAGGACTACCTCTTTAAGGTTATATACGCGTCTAATAATAGTTATATACCTAATAAGAGAGATAACCTAGAACTATATAAGCTATTTAGGGGTTTACTAGATTAGGGTAAGAAGTAGAATACTATAAAGAAACACTTTAGTATAGTTAGGATTATTAGGCTTCTTCTAAAGAGTATTAGAGCAAATATCTAGTTTAAATAGGTAACCTAGATATAAGTTATATAGTAGTTAGAAATAGTAGTAGAGTATAATAAGGATATAATATCCCTAGTATAATATATTAAGCTACCTTTTATAGTATTTATTAAGGAGCGTCTACTACTATAAGAGTTTCTCTTCTTAGGGCAGGTTAATTAGTATCTAGGGGAGTAACTACTACTAATACTTAATAGGTATATATATATTAAGATAATTTACTCTAAAGCTAATAGTTATATAGTTACTAGGGCACCCCCCCTATAATAAGGAGAGTAGAGAAGGTGCAAGTTAACAAAGATAAGGCCCTTAAATTAACTATTAAGGGGGCGTTTAGGGCTAAGACTACCTTAGAGATAGGCACTATATATAGTAGCATTACTATCCTATAGTTAAGTATATAGATAGTAGTTATTATTAACATATATAATTAGTTATATAAGTGTAGGTATAGTAAGGTATAGAAGGGGGATATTTTAGTAAGGGTAATAGGGTGTATTTATAACGTAGCTACTAACCCTATTACCCTTAAGTAAACCCTCTATCTATAATAAGACCTCTATATTACTCTATTAGTAATAGAAATAATTTTAATAAATGCTGCACCCTTAAATAATAGTCTATGCAAGAAGAATTCTTTACTAAAGGTAGGACTTTTATAAGGAAATAGGTAGTAGAGGTTATAGGAAATAGGTTCTAGGTATAGGTTTATAGGAAACAGGTTTTAGGTCTAGGTTTGTAGGAAATAGGTTTTAGGTAGTAGGGGTTACAGGAAATAGGTTTTAGGTCTAGGTTTACAGGAAACAGGTTTTAGGTTTTAATTTTCCTCGCACAGTTATTTTCTGCAAGACGCTAGTAGCGCACAGTCCTATTTAGAGTTGTTTCCTAGTAGGAAACGACTTTCCTATAATATATAGAAAAGGATAAGATTCCTACACCTATAAGTCTTGTATAAAAGGATAAGAAGAATATACCTATCCTAATATAGGCGAGCTGCTCTCTATATACATTAGCAAGTTAGGCTGTTGTTAGGGCTAACTTGGTATAGAACAATAGGCGAACAATTCTGCACTATTGTTACATAAATCAGGCTCGAGATGGCATCATAGGGAAGCAAGCTGTGAAAGTGAATCAATAATACAAGTCAATGCAAATGGAGTAAATATTGCGCGGTGCATCGGACAATATTTTAACTTGATAATTAGCTCCTAAACAACATCAAGCCAGCCTCCTGAGCATCAAGATTATTATCCTCGTTCTCACTCTCGAGATCGTCGTGTTCACCCAACCCAAGTCTCTGTCCGAACAAGCTGCCAAAGAGATCATCTCTCTGCCTATCACCCCATTCACCCCTATCTTCGGGTGCAATGAAGTTCTGAATTTTCTCTTCCACTGTATAACGTAATCTCCTCCCTTTACTGGCCTTGGTGTCAACAATCTTTTTCGTCTTGGCGTCGCGCGCAACCTGCCATGGCGCTTGCACGACAAACTCGGCTGCGCCGTTTGCACTGAGATCTGCAGAACGCTGCTCTAGTAGCTCCTTGAGCATGAGACCGTAGAAGTCGGCGTCATCATAAATCTCGGGATCTGGAAGAGCGCCCTTGACGGAGGATTGGAGAGGGGCGCATGATCGTGGCTGTTGTGTTCGTGCTACCAAGTGTGAAGATGCAAGCTGTGAGTCAAGGATTTCAGTCAAAGTCTGCTGAGCGGAGGCATTCAGGCGAGCCTTGTTGTTCGTGGTTGTCGTGGCCTTTGTCTTGCTGGACCAGCGCTCCAACACGGCCTTTCGGTGGGAGTGTGTGGAAGAATCGATGGTGCGAATATGGGACCAGATCTCAGATGATGGCGTCGTGGAGTCAAAGGTCGAGTGCTTACGCTTATTTCCAGTGCGAGATTCATCCAAGGACAAGCGCAGATCGGTCAGGTTGTTAAGGAGGGTCAATGCCGCGGTCTCAGCAGCTTCCATTGGCGCATTTGGTACGGCGTCAGATTTGTGGGGCTCAGCTGTCATCGAATTGGTTGATATCAGAGCCTTCTGAAGACGAATGCGAGTGTTAAGAAGGGTGTCAAAGGTCTTGCGCTGCGTCTTGACGGCCTCTCCTTTGGCAATATCTGCCTGTGTGCTTGCCGCGATTGTCGAGGTGAAAGACTTGCTGTCCTTCATCAAATTCAGCACAGTTGATTTGCCAGCCGTGTCCTTTGCGGAATCGTTTTCGTCGTCATCGTCGTCGGAACCACTAACGTCGGAGTCGCTGTCGTGAGATGCGCCATCTGTCTCTTCGTCGTCATCGGTTGTACTCTCGACAGAGCCTTCCTCGTTAATACTATCATCGCCATTGATTTGAAGATCATCAGTCCCTTGTTCTTGATCATCCTCGTCGCTGCCTTCACTGTCAACCTCATCGAAGCCTCGGGCGAACGGATCATCGCTGTCGCTGTCTTCCAGCTCTCTCCTGCTGACCCCACGGCCAGTATACTCTGGGCCGAGAGAGACTTCGACGGGCTTCATTAATCTACTCTTGCCGACTGCAGCGTAGTGTTCTCGCCCAGCCTTGTCGTCCTCAACGTCTGAATGATCGCCATCAGAGCGGTCGTCGTCGTCACTAGAACTGGGAGCTGGGTCGAGGAGGGCCTCGGGGTCAAGGTCTATTGTTTGGGTAAGCACAATGTGGGGAGTTTTCAATGGCAGATGCGTACCTCTGAATTTTGACTTCTTCATTGTCCTTGCCAGTGTCGTGGTTATGCGGGTTGCGACGAGACAGCAAGTGCAAAGTTCATCTCGAGGGGCCCACAAAAAAGTCGAGCTGCATCGGCGGATTGACAAAGTTGATGCCGATGGTGCGTCACGCGTCCTCTCCGCGTCCAACTCCGCAACAGCAACACAGCCAGGAGGATATGATGAACCCACGACGACTATTTTCGACGTGGCGCTGTCTTCAGCATGAGAACCCTCTGGTAATATCAGATGATTGTTGCATCAGACCAATATCAAAGGCTGAACGCCATGCTTAGGGCCTCCCACGCTCTGGCGCCCCTCCACCGATGCCGCGCATGCAACGGGGGCTACCACAAAAGAGACGCATAAAAGACGTGAAGAAGGTGATTGCAGTCTCATCGGCAAAGGGAGGCGTTGGGAAGAGCACAATTGCAGGTACAAATCCTTCATCACTTGAGAGCGTCGCATGCACAAACCTGACCCACGGCCAGTCAACCTCGCCTTATCCTTCGCACGAAGAGGCTATAAAGCTGGCATTCTCGACGCGGACATATTTGGACCCTCGATTCCCACACTCCTCAATCTGTCTGGGGAACCACGCCTATCCGTCAGTCAGTTGGCAGATCCACAATGATGCCGATATCCACGCTCTGACGCTACGGCCTAGACAACCAACTCCTTCCACTATCAAACTATGGCCTAAAGTCCATGTCAATGGGCTATCTCATTCCCGAATCATCGCCTGTGGCATGGCGGGGCTTGATGGTCATGAAGGCGCTACAGCAATTGCTTCATGAAGTGGAGTGGGGTGGCCTCGATGTTCTCGTCCTCGATATGCCACCAGGCACCGGGGACGTGCAACTCACAATTACCCAACAATTAATGCTGGATGGCGTGATCGTTGTGTCCACACCACAAGACTTGTCGCTTAAGGACGCTGTTAAGGGCGTGGAGCTGTTTAAAAAAGTTGATGTGAATCTGCTCGGCCTAGTCTGCAATATGACAGGGTTCAAATGCCCCGGCTGCGGCACTGTCCATGAAATTTTTGGAAACATGAGCAAGATCCGCGCCATGTGCGACAAATACGACCTGAGAACGTTGGGCGAGATACCACTTCACCCGAGCATTAGCGATGATGCTGACAGTGGCAAACCAACGGTGGTGGCAGACCCCGATGGAGAACGGGCTGTGGCATTTGGGAAAATTGCGCAAGAGGCGGAACTTTCAATCGGGCTGAAGAAGTCGTGAATGCTTCTCGCCGTTTTTCAATAGTGGCAGCCTTTGACGCCCTTACTTTTGCGTTCGATTCCGTGCCACTTCTCTCACAATAGGCTAGCCTTTTAGTGAACTTGTGAATGGCTCCAACAAGGAGCCATCGTGATATTTGGAAGAATTTCGCAAACTCGTTTACCGTAGCGATTGGCCTCCTTGCCCGACCAAGTACACAGACTCCAATTTATCAGCGATGACGATACAGCGCCCCAAATTATTTTACCAACTTGACCAACCAGCTAGACAGCCTGGCACCCGCTTTGTGACGTGACATGTTTATCCCATATTGAGAATCTACCAACACCAATGTTATGGTCGATCGACTTGGGCCACTTCGAGATACGTACCTGTGGGGGAGAATACGTACCCCGGATCCCCCGGATCCGATGTCTTGCACACCCCCGCATCCGACAGTCTTTGTACCACACAACCACTCAGGGTACCACCCAAATGAATTGTAATCGATCCGCAGATGCCAGATGCGCGTCTTCTTCGGCCTCTAGTTGATTCTGGTGTGGAAAGATTGCCGTATCGGGTTGCTCATGTAGAGTGTATACACTTGCTGAAGGTGGGCCTTTTTTTGTGGGAATTACCTACACGCGTGCATCATGTTCGGGGAATGGTCGCCTGGTCTCTCAGAGACAGATATAGCAAAGATTCTTACTTGTTATTCTATTCCGTATTTTTCGTGGTGATCATTAGAGCATGTCGTGTTGTAGTCTTACCCTGATATCGCCCATAATGTTCGGACGTTGTTCAAATGCTTCAAAGTCACTTGGTTCCTCTTCCACCAGCAGCCCTGCGCCCGCCGTTTTCCACTCAAAAGGTTAACCCGACAAGACTCCACGCTCAAGACTCTGTAGCCCCTCTTCAGTATGCCGTAACTTCAGGGGTCTACCAGTCAAGCTCTCTGGCCACCTTCTCGTAGTACTCCCCGAGTTGCTCGGCTGTCCACTTATTCGTACACGCCGCAACCAGTCCCTCTTCCATCAGCTTGTTTTCAGGACTTGGCTGCAAAAGCATGTCCTGGAGTTTGGAGCTGTTGAGTTTGGTAAACATGTCAGCGGCCACCATCGCTGTTCACTTGTTGCCGTCCTGGAAGGCGTGATTCTTTGCGATCGGCTTGCTGCCAATTGGAACAAGTTCTGTTGATTCGCATAGTACTTGATGTTTATGGGTGATTGCACCGCTGATTCCAGCATAGCCGGCTGAGTGGGTAGGGCATTTGCGATGAAGACTTTGTGAAGGCGAATGACTTGGGCGGCGGTCAGGAAGCCGAACTTGATGACGTTTGGTGTCATTTTGAGATGGCTAGTTAGGCTAAGTTAGGTACGAAGCATTTGGTGTGCAGTTTACACGCCTGTTGGAGTATTTGCATCAAGTTGGTTCTGGATTCGAGTACTAACTATCATGGTTTCGGGGCACGCACCGTGAAAGTGCTAAAGCCAGGACAAGTAGCTTTTTCCTTGATGGTGACATTACAACACATGGCACGTTGAAACCGGAATGAACGTCTAGTGCAGACCCCATAGTGTAGCGGTAGGCAAGAGCATAAGTTGTATAGCAAAGGTCAGGGCTAAATAATCGAGCAAGAGCCGCCGAAGTTGGCACATCAGGAAAGGGTTTAGAAAGGATGCGAATAAAGTATTGATTTTTGATTATTGAAGAGATTGAGGATGTACCCGAAAGTGGCCTTACCTGCCTGGTATCGCAGTCACCGCCATAGGGTAGATACAAGCAGGTGCAATGTAGGTGATGATGTAGAAAGAATAGCAAAGAGAGCCGCCAAAACGACAGAATGATTAATACGTCTTTCGTGGCATCGTGTTCTGTACTTGGGTACTGCCTCCAATGCCTCCACGTTCCAACAAATCTTTTACATAAGTACTCCGCTCGAGATCGTAGGTACCTATAAGGGGTTTCATCGCCCACCAGCAGCCATGCATCCGCTTCGCTCAAGGCGCTCCAACAACAACACCATTTGGCATCTGGAGCCCTACAGGCAGTCCACGGATCCACGGCTCCTTGAAAGTCCGACCACGTGCTTCTGCCAGGACTTGTTCAATGTCTTTGTACATGTCATAGCTGCCATTGTGTCAGTGCGTTCTACGCCCGCAAAACTTGATCATCATGTCACTCACGCATTCATCTCTTCAATCGTCAACGTCTCCTTCTCATTCTCTACCTGAAAGGTTTCGCAGTTGTCCTTATTTGCTGAAAATCCAATGCGTTCATTGATGTTGTAAGCGGCCTTTGCTGCAGCCGCTTGCACACGCGTCGCGCGCGGAAGCCGCACTTTTTCGTATGCCTGTAGTGATTCACGAATATCGCCTGTGAAAAACCGTCGGTTGAATATGACCCCGAGAGCACCGGCATCTTCAATAGCCATACAAGCTCCCTGACTCTGATGTGGCATCATCTAGCATATCATGTCAGCAACTTCCGAGACCCAGCTGCTTATGTTTCGTAGAAGAGTAAATGACGTACTGGATGTCCAGCATCACCTAGCAAACAAACGTTTCCTTTTTGCAGATACGGATACGGCTGATGTACCCACAACCTCCACGGCTGAATCTCAATCCCAATTTCCAAATGCTTCTTGACTTGACTGTCCAACTCTGGAAAGGGCGCAAGCAACTCCTCCACCGGCCTTGCCTCTGCGCCCCACGCCTGGTTCGTATAGTCACCCTTGTCACGGGGGAAAAAGCAATAGTACGATAGCAGCTTACCACCATTACATGGGGAGAGAACAATCTTGTCCCATTTCCCTTCCTGACCGCCCCAGTATTCCAACGCGGCGTTTTTGGAGTAATCGACTAGCCCGAGTTTGGCAGCATCTTCAGTCATTACGTTGGCGTGAAGACATTGCTGATCCGCAGGGCGTTTTTCGGGATTTACACCTATGAGTTTGCGGACGACGGAACCGATGCCGTCAGCGCCTACAATGAGGTCATGCGTAGCTTTTGTGCCATTTTTAAAGGTGATTGTCGTGGTAGACAAATCAATATCTTGACACTGTGATCTGGTTAGTCGCCCATATATCTCACCTAAATTTTCTGAACACAAAGCGAAATCGCATGGAAGTGGTCACTCAAACCAAATTGTAAAACTGAGATTGTAAATGAGATAATACATACAGCATGATTCACCTTCAGCACGGCTGGCACGCCCTCACCCTCTTCCTGCAACGCACAATCTTTCAAAATGGCATGCATATACTGCCGATGAAACATGTAATACTCATAGCCCCACTTCTTCTTGTAGTCCGCTAAATCGTACACACTGACCGGTTCGCCAGTCTTCCAGTCTCTATTTATCAGTTTCGTAAGCGTTACAGGGTCGCCTTTTGGAATGTCTACTCCCCATTCCTCTAGCCACCGCGTCCCGTTTGCGGCACAGGATACTGAGGCACCAACTTCGCCGGCGAAATCATTCTTCTCGTAGATGATGACTGTGTGTCCGGAGCGGCGAAGAGCGATGGCTGCGGAGAGGCCGCCTATGCCGCCACCTATAACGGCGATAGAGAGTGGGCGGTAGCCGTGCGGCGAGTCCACTTGGGAGCCCATTATATACAAAGTTGCGGAGGAGTTAGCCAAAACTGCGTACGTAGATGCAGATGGAAGTGTATAAGGACTCGTGAAAGACAGAAGCAGAGGATATGAGGCTAGATATCAAGGATGAACGGATCAAGTATCTCAGACGGACGGGAGTTTATTGATTGAACGTGATTGTGAAGTCAGCCAACCAGGAAACATGTGGGAGAGGGAACTTTGAGTATCACATGCGGGTAGAAGTAGGCTTAAATAGATCCCTCTTGGCTCAACAAGGGATCTCGAGCGGCTAACCATTAAGAATCTATCTCGTATGAAGTTCGGAGCTTCGGATAGTTCCTTCTGCGATAGATATGTTACCAACAGATCGATACACATGCGCGTCTCAACCGAGTTAGTAATGCCAACCTTAGACAGATGGTAGGGGGTTGGGTCTCTAGCTAAGGCAGATCAACCTTGTGACATGACAAGGGACGTCGACAGCAACACCAGTATACCTGTGCTAGTATCCGATCCCCGCATTTTGGAGAGCAGCAATGAGCGAAACTTTAATGGTCATGTGCAGTTGTCGGATGTGTTGTATCGGAAGCATGGTGTCGTATCGGGTAGAGGCATGGAATGCCGTGATTGGCCTGGCTTCCGTCAAAGTCCGTTATCATCGGATTCATCCGCATCTAGGCACCGATAACCTGTCCACTTATTCCATCCTTCTTTGTAGAAGACAAGAGCTTCTAGGGCGAAATTCAGTCTTAGTCATGACGTACTCGCGATTGTTTTCGCTGTGCTCGAAGAAGCTACAAGCTATGGTATTCTTTGCTCTATACCGAGGCTGCGCGCGTGATGCACGTGTTCGCGTAGCGCACGCCCCAAACACCATAACACCATAATCGCGATATCTTCCACACCTAACAGCTCACCTAATATAGATCTAATTAATATAGTAATTAGATAGATAGAATTATAGCTATTAGGAGAAAAACTTTTATATATAGAAGTCGCGAAAAAGTTTAATATTTACTAGACAAGCTTAAGCTAAAGGTTATAGTATAAATATAGTAATAAAGCTACTAAAAACTCTAATTAATAATTACTTACTCTACTATAGGAGGCAGTCCTTATAGGGTATATTAGGCAGCTTACTAAGGATAGCTTACTACCTATAAGGCTTATGCGGCTTAATTTCTGCTTGTTAATCACTACGGTAAAAAATTGTTTACTATAGAATGGTACGCTAGGGGTTTACTATATAGGTGTAAACTAACCTCGTGTATACCTGTAAATAGGTTTAAAGTAGTAGTTTACTTTTTTATAGTATTAACATAGTGTAGTTTACTATAGACCTATTAGTAGAGTAAATAAAGTAGTTTATAATAGACCTATTAGTAGAGTATATAAAGTGGTTTATAAAAGATAAAATATAAGTATTAGGTATAGTAATAATAGTATTAGATTTTTTTTAGTATCCTTATATAAACTACTAGTACGTTGTTGCCTATCCTATCCCTAGGCCTAACCCGCCTAATTAATAGCCTATACCTGCCTAATTAACAGGCCTAAAACCGCCTAATTATTAGCCTATACCTGCGTAATAATTAGCCTATACCTACGTAATTGTAAGGCTGTCCACTGCGTACCTTATTTATTTTTAGAAAACTACAGTATAATATAAATTAAATAGGTATACAAGTAGTATAACTACGTGGTAATTAGTGTAAGTTAGTACGTCTAATAATAGTCTAGCGTAATATATAGATAATATACTTACCTAATAAATGCTAGTATATTATATAGTAATAGTATTAGTATAAAGAGCCTAGTACTATAAAGCTAGATATAGACCTATTATCTTACTTAACTATAGGTAGTTAGTCTTAGACTATCCGCGTTTATTAACAATATATAGCTTATTACTAGGTTAAAGTTAAGCGCTGTGTCTATAGTAAACTATAGCTACTCCTACAAGGTTAATAATTGTTGTTATTTAAATCTATTTAATACTATTGTTATCTTCTATTATCCTCTAAGGTTAGGCTAGTTAGCCTATAGCAGCAGCGGGTTATGTCTGTTGCTATTAAAGTACTCCTAGCTATTTAGAGTTATTAGCTAGATCTTAAAATAGGTGTATTACTATCCTAAAGGAGAGCTAAACATAGTTATTATAATTATTTCTAGCGGCGTAATATATAATAAACGTAGTGCTCTAGGGGTAGTTACTATCTTTATAATTCCCTAAAACCCTAATAGTACACCTATTTAGGAGTATGCAATAGTTATATATAACTATATCCTAGGCGCGTGTCTATGTAGCATGCACTGTGGTTGTGATTGTGGCATAAGTATTGTCTAGGATACGTCCCTAGTGCGCATCTATGCTACCGTAAGACTTAGATTTTAGATAGTACTCTTATAGCTAAGTTATAATTATATTTTTATTAATATTATACTCTATACTAAGCCTAAGCTATCACGCGTGGATAATACGCTTATATGCTAGTATATTCTACTCTAAACTAATATACTTCTAGGAAGGAGAAGTTACTATCTTCTTAATATAACTAATAAGTCTCTCTAAAGACTATTAGGTATAGTATATAGGTAGTCTAAAATCCCTAGTATTAGATATAAGGTAGAGTAGGTAATAGATCTAAATAGAGCAAGATAGTAACTAGTCTACTTTACTATAGTAGTAGAGTAACTTGTACTAGCAAATAAAATTCTCTGCTAATAGTTCTAACTTATTAATCTAGTTAATAGTAAACTCCCTCTAGCTTATATAGAAGAGTAGTTTATAGTAGCGTAGGAAGTTATTAGCATATTCCTTCTAAAGATAGACCTGTATAGCTAGCGCTCTATAAGTAAGCATAAAAGTCTGCTATTTAAACAAAGTCTATATCTTGTATATTATAGTGCTTTGTAGGGCAGTGCTAACTTAGGTTAGTACTAAGGAATAGGACTTGTAAAGACCTTTATTAATTAAAGCCTAATTAGCGTTAGTAACAAGCTATAGTATAGTCTTGTTATTAAATTTGTCCCCTTTCTAGAGTTAGAATAAGGCTTTAGGTATATTATAGGATATTACGTGCATAACGTTAATAGGAAAGCTATAAGGAAAGTATATAGTAGGGAGGTCTAATAGGATAGAGTAGTAGTTAATACTAGTATCTTAGCGTAAGCTAGTGTATTTAGAGGCTAGTATATTAGTCTATTATTTATATATATCTTTAATAGTAGTAGCTAAATTATTATATATAACTAGGTAAAGGGTATCTCTATTTAGGAAAGAGTATTTACTAGTTCTCCCCTTAGTTCCTTTATATAGGCATAGGCAGCAACTCCTTTTTAATATACTAGGCTATTTTATTCCTATAATCTCTGCTATAGCTAGCCTATCTCTAGTTATTAGTATAAGGTAGGCGTAAAGGATAAATTCTTCCTAAGCGTCTATATTGTATATATAAACTCTAACTATAAGTTAGTATAATTCCCCTACTATTAGGTATAGCTAAGTATCTATAAATTTTTTATTAAAAGTACTAGGTATAATAGTAGTAACAAGTATATTATAGTCTTAATCCTAAATAGATAGGTAAAGGTTTAAGATATATAGCACTACTAGTGTAATACTTTATTATTTCTTAGGGTTCTTTACTATACCTACTACGTCTAATATAAGTTATAAAGCTAGATCCCTAGGGTCTTAGAAGTATCCTTTCCTACTATATTCTTAAAACTAGTCCCTATTATACATGTCTTAGTGTAAAGTACATTTGCTAGTAGGGTTAAAAGTTACCTAATACACTTATAATTATTATAACTAATAACTATTATTATACTAGATATGTAGTTATAGAAGTATAGGGATATATTACTATTAATATTTTAATTTGCCTTTCTTATTATACTAAGCTCTGCTATAGGATAGGCACGTATAAGTAGTGTTAAGGTCGCTAGTAAAGGCTACGCACCTATTAGCACAATAATTAATAGATAGAGGAGTTATAGTATCCTAGAATAAGGTATGTAGTATATGCTGCCCCTAGTAGATAGTATTACTAATATTAATATTATAGCATTTCTTTAAAGTTTGTTATATCTTTTAGAACTTCTTATATAGAGTACCTATAAATGCAGTATATATATTAAGAGAGGTAGTGTAAAGTTATTAAACACGCTCTATTTACTTATAATATAGTATATATCCTATTTGCTATTATATATCCCCTAAAAAGTCCTCTAGGTATAGAACCTCTTTGTCCTTATCCGCGAGTTACATGTTATTATTATAGTTATCTATTAGGTCTACACTATTGCTAGCAGAATCGCTAGTAGAACTGCGGGAAGAATTAATATTAAGTACTCCTTGTATGTCGTTAAGGTGTAATAGTTAACTAGCAGGGCGGCTAGTAGTCTATAGTATAGTGGCATCTTTAGTAGTAGTAAAGGGAATATTTTATTTATAGCACCTTTGCTAGTATTATATATACTACTTTTAATTCACCTTGTAGCGTGTACCTTAGTGTAGAGTAAGATAACAATAATACTAGAACTTGTTCTATTAACTAGATATTTATAGGTAAGGGGCAGTAATTACCTACTACGTACTATCTATAATAGTTTCTACGTTAATATAGCACTTAGGGATATAGATAGTAGATATATAAATATAGATAGTAGTGTCTAATCTAAACTATAGTGTGTTCCTTTAATAAGCTATAATGCAATTATGCTAGTCTTCTAGTATAATAGCTTAGTAGCGTAAACTTACTATTTTGCTATGCTAGATAATATAAATATTAGTAAGCTATATACGTATTAGTAGAGTTATAAAGTTTTATATTTGTTATAGTTACTATAATAAACGTATTAGTATAGAAAGTAGACTTTGTGTTATCTTCTTTTATACTATATAGGTATTCTACTTTATATATCTATATATTCTATTTTACTATAAGTAGACGTACTAGATATAGTTTATCTCGCTATAAGTTAGACCTAATCTTACCTACTACTTGAAA